AATGGGAGCGTCATGACATGTTAAAAAAGCCCACCAAGGATGTGAGGTCAACAAGACGATTGTTCTTACGACAGAATATCTGAGTTCCATTTCACGGTACGAGGCGTGATTCCTTACCAGAGTAGCTACACCACTTGTGCTGCGAATGTGTGTGACATAGAAAGTGGATGTTGATCTGTCTGTGGAAGCGTGGTTAAAAAAATTCTATGGAGATGTGGGAAGAAAAAGATGACGACAGAACAATAAAAGCTCCAAACCAAAACAACGATTTATTTGGATTTCCCCCAAGGCCTTTAGAAGAAGGTGTTTGGTCTCTTGGTGGTGAAGCGGGGTTTGTGCTGGCGGCGCAGGACCCGATGGGGCAGCGGGAACTTGATCTTGGAGTCCTGCGGGACCAAAGCCACATCGCGTCAGTCAACAACAAAAAAAAAAAAAAAACAAGCGCCAACGGGCATTTGCGTGTCGCCAGTTTCGCAACCCCCAGCTCAAAGTCTGGAAGAGGAATCTGGAATCTCATCTGGCGGCGTTGTGCCAAAGTGGAGCGGGCCCACGCAAGGGAGGGCCGCCGCCGCCAACACAAAGTGGGCAGAAACTCACGTGGAACTGCTTGATGGCGGGCCTGCGACACTTGTTGGCGGCGATCACCTGGACCTTCATGATCTGAATGGAGTGGGCGCGGGCACGGTGCCGGGCGCCCATGTCGCGGTCTGCCGGGGGGGACGGCAAATTAGGAAGGCGGCGAAAAGCCGGGACGGGGGTCGGGTCACCACTCACAGCACTGGGTGACGGCTCCGGAGGTGGTGAGGTCCCGGTATTCGCGGTACATGTTGTGCGTGCCGCTGCGCGAGTCGTAACGCAGCCAGATGCCAAAGTTCTTCACCTTCAGGGGCGTCTTCTCGTGGACCTGCACTCGCACGGCATCACATTCAAAAGTTGACGACCATTGACTTGTGCGCAAGGAGATGAAAGCTTCACTCGCGCCATCTCAAATTCGGGGGGGGGGGGGCAGCATTTTGGGGCTGTCCGGGGAACGGGCAATACGCACCAGTCCGCAGTAGACGGTCTCGCCGGACGCCTTCTTCATCTTCCTGAGTTGGGACACAAAGTACCAGAAGCGGGACTTGGCCACCACGTGGTTGGGGGCGAAGATGCGCATGCGGTACAGGGGCGGGGTCGGGTTCTTGGGCGACGGCAGCAGACGCCCGATCACCTTGTACTCTCGCAGCTGCCCCCAAAAAAACACACCAAACCCACATCACGGTCGAGCCTTGGCAGGGG